AGATGTTCCATATGGGGGGGGAAGTGCACATGCTTGATATGGGTTTGGAAAGGAGGGTGGCGCAGATGTTCCATATGCTCAAATGATGATAAGAAAGAGGGACTTGGGGGGGGGCGGGTGGGGGGAAGGGGGAGAAGGGGAGCCCGAAAAGGAAGGGAGAGAAAATCGTCAAGGGGGAGGGCCTCTGATATCGAAGGGTGGACGTGATGGCCCCGGTACCTGGAATGTGATTAGGGGGAAAAAAAAGAGAAAAGGGGTGATTTGAGATGTCTCTTTTTTTTTTTTGTTGAGCTGTCTTTTTTTTTACGCCTGTTTTTTTTTTTTTGTGTTGAATTTTTTGTGCAAGTCAAATGGACTTGTTGTCGTTTGTTATTTTTCGTGGACGAATTCGCAACACGGATCACCCTACCGTCTTCCCCCGAATATAACCGACGGGCATTACAGCTGTACTTGGGCCATATTTCGGTCTAGATGCAGCGACGATGACCGTACGTTCTATTCGGGGGAAGACGGAAGGTAAGATTAGTACTACTTATGTCTTTTTGCAAAAACAAATCGAATTCCTTTAGCTACTGAAAATTTTGATTTCCAATTTTTTTTTTTAATGTTATACACATCGCCCAAGTAAACAGCAAAAAAAGAGGTGATCGCAGGCGTTTGTCTCTCTTTTTTTGTTTCCTTTTTTTTTTTTTTTTGGTTTGTCAAGCAGGCCAAGAGGATAACCACCAATGATGAGCCTAGCTCCGTTGGCACACCCACGAACTATTGTAATGCAGACCTGAGTTCGAATACAAAACTGTTGGCACACCCATGAACCTGAATCTGGTCTTAATTGGCGTCAAATGCATTAAAAAAAAAGGAAAAAATACATAGGGGAATGCTTGAGAAGAAGGAGACCAAATAATCCGGAGTTCGAATACAGAACTGTTGGCAAACCCATGAATCGGAATCTGGTCTTAATTGGCGTCAAATGCATTAAAAAAAAAAAGCAAAAAATACGTAGGGGAATGCTTGAGAAGAAGGAGACCAAATAATCCGGAATGGCTTTACTTGGGGCTGGTCAGTTCGATCATATTTCAAGGCTCTTGCCCTTGTCATGCATAAAAAAAGGAAAAAAAGGGAAAAAAAAAAAAAAAAAAAGAGAAAGAAAGAAAAAGAAAGAGGGCTGACCGTGTCAGCAGGGGTGAGGTTCTCTTCTTATCGCAGCCCTTCGTTCCTACCTAGGTTGATTTCCTTCTTCCCCCCCCCCCCCCCCCCCCCCCCCCCCCCCCCCCCCCCCCCTCCCTTTTTTTTTTTTTTTTTTTTTTTTTTTTTTTTTTTTTTCCTTATCCTTAATTTGCGTGGTAATTCTAAATTAAGGATAGGGGTAAATGATAAATGGTGGTAAAAAAAAAGAATCAATTGGAGGGACAGAAGGAAAAGAGATGAGGGCGTTATAATCGCGGCGCAGGATTTTGTTTGAACTGAATCTGGTCTTAATTGGCGTCAAATGCATCCAGGAAAGCCGCAGGATTCTGTTTGAACTGAATCTGGTCTTAATTGGCATCAAATGCATCCAGGAAAGCCGAAGAGTGTGAGTGCTTCCGGAGACAGGAGGTGGCCAGCGAGGAAGGAGCGCAAAGCGGGAAATGTCCAGCGAGGAAGAAGGAACCAGGAACACTGAAGCATTTTTTCGAGTGAATCCGGTCATCATTGACGTCACATACATTCGGAAACGCGAGCAATGAGCTGATCTTTGGAAGAGGGACGGGACCGAGGGAAGCTGCTTCTTAAAGTGGGTGGCGTAATCAGCACAGCGAGGGAGACGGGGGGGGGGAGAAGGAGGGAGGAGGGAGGGAAGAGGAGGGAGGGAGGAGGGAGGAAGAGGGAGGAAGAGGGAGGAAGAGAAGGGAGCACCAGAAGATGAGCAGAACGAGGGGTTGATTAGGGTTTTACTGATTCTTGTTTCTTTTTTTCCCCTTTGGTATCTCGATGTAATATGAAGAAACACACGGTTTTTCTGTGTCCTTCTTCTTCTTTTTTTTTTTTTTTTTTTTTTTTTTTTTGAAAACGAAGTGATTGCTTAGGTTCGTTGCCCCGAGTTGCGACGACAGGTTTGTCGGGCAAAGGGGTGGCTTGAAAAAAAAGAGGAGCGGGAGGCCAGATAGCCCTCCATCCATAGCAGAGGCCAAATATAGCCACCCCTCTGATAAGGCTGCGGGAGAGAAAAGCCCTTCATCCATGGACGACGAACAAGACAGGGGGAGACCCACCAAGGGCAGGAAACATGGGTCTGAGAAAAAAGGGGAGAAGTTCAAATTGGAGGTGATCAAGCCGTCGGCGGAAGATGGGGACAGAGCGTGTCCTTTCGTGGTTCAATTCCCGGCCGGGATCCCGGCAGAACTCGAGGGTTACGGTCGGGATCGGGATAAAGGTGTGGTGAACGAAGATGCAGAATGGAGAAAGGCAGAGCGAGGAGGAAGAGATGCAGCAGCAGGAGGAGGAGGAGAAGGAGGAGGAGGAGGAGGAGGAGATTCGGCGGCGGCGGCGGCTCCCGCTGTGAGGGTGGCAGTTATGCAGAACAAAGCGCCGTTTCGAAGTCATCAGCGGATGGTTGTGGCGGAGACGAAGGGTGTGGATTACGTCGGGACGACCTTCGCGGGCGAGGCGTCCGTTCAACCCATCTGCCAGTACGCATTGTGGGCCGTCAACAAAAATACCGGACGGATCAGGGTCATTCCGGTATCTGGAAACAAGATAGTGCGAATGGAACCCCGCGTCTGGGGCGTCGATTACGATGTCAAGTCATCGGCTCAAGACAAGGAGGAGGAGAAGGAGAAAGAGAAGGAGAAGGAGGTGCCTGGAGATACCAACGAACGAATACAGAAACGCAATATGTTGACAGAAACCTTTGGAAGCAAGAAGAATATCGCGAGAGTGCAAGAACGCAACAGAGGACAGATCGACGGTGGAGACAATGCCAACGCCCTCGTCGGGTCCGTGCTGAAGAAGGTGGCTATGGCGTCCGCCGTGGCTCCTGTCCTTGAAGCAGACTTGCAATCTCGGAGCGCACGCAACATCCCGCCTCATAACTTGGACGCCCAATCGCCGGATCAAGCTTATCCGTTAGATCTTCTGATCTCTTCAGAAGAGCGGGAGGCTCTCGACATCAGGCAGATGCACAGAGATGCAAAGGATATGGAAGGAGGAGGAGGAGGAGGAGGAGGAGAAGGAGGAGGAGGAGGAGGAGGAGGAGGAGGAGGAGGAGGAGGAGGAGAGGGAGGATCGCAGGCGAACACCACCAAGTACCCAGACTTCGTGGCCAAACGCCTTTCCTTGCTCGCAAATTTGAAGGTAAAGGGCCTCGCTTTTTTTGCACTACTCAACAATGTGCAAAATGAGAATGAATCTTCCGCTAGAACATGGAAAGATGCACCGGCGGCATATCTTTTGTCGTTTGTGCATGTGGAGAGTAGAGCGAAGCCCAAAGTCTGGTTGTTCTTTGGGTGAAAAAAAAAAAAAAAAACACTTATTCTTTGCGAATGGTTTTTTTGAGGGGGGAGAAGATATGAGTTTGGTTTGCTTTTTTTGCTTTTTTCACTTTTTTGGGGGTCGTACCACCCCCCAACAACAAAAAAACCCGAAAAAAAATAAAAAAACAATCCAAACTTGAGGAACATGCGTGTATATGAGACCGGAGTTTCAGCTCAATTTTTTATTAAAGTCAGAGATTTTTCATTCTAATCAGTCTGTTATCGTGGAAAGGGGTGGGTTGGCTGCCAGTAAAATTCTCTCTCTCTCTCTCTCTCTCTCTCTCTCTCTCTCTCTCTCTCTCTCTCTCTTTCTCTCTCTCTCTGTGTGTCTGTCTGTGGATATGCTCACCTAGGTTTGAATTAAAAGAGGCAGATTGCCTAATTAATTGCGGACAGGAGGAGAAACGACATCTCGTTATAACACAGCCTTTAGGCAATACCGGTGACGTCCACCAATGAAGATGGATCGCAGATGATCCGTAGTACCTGCAATGTAATTTAATTTAATTAATTGAATTGGGGAAGGGATCTAAGAAAGTGTCTGATAATGAGGCTATAAGTACCGAGCTCTGACTCCGTGTTTGTACTTGTATGTGAGCGTCTACCTCCCTTGCGGACGGGTACACACGCACCTCTCTCTCTCTCTCTCTGTCTCTCTCTGTCTCTCTCTCTCTCTCTCACAGTACGAGTGCCCACTCTTGCGAACTTCCATGTAGGAGTTAAAAAAAACAGTTTGAAACCCCAAATATGGCTTGACTTCGCTAAGTTCTCTTCAAATCATCAATAATGGATAGGAACCAAGGAACTGTCTTATGACGCTTCAATTGTTATGGGCTTATTCTGCTGTGGCGGTTCGGGTATTTTTATTTTTAGACTGATTTGCGTATTTTTAACTATTTAATGCTACTTTTATTTTTTATAGAGATTGTGTTTTTTGCAATAGTAGTAGTAGTAAATTAGTACTCGCATCATCACAGTCAACGGCATAGGCTCACAGCCCACCGACTTCAACCAACAGCACCTTCTGAGAGAGAATTGGTTGAAGTCTGACCAAACAGTCTGTCACAGGCTCACAGCCCACAGTCTCTTGTCCTTCTCTCCGTTTCTGCCTACTGTTCACCGGCCAGTTCTCTCTCTCTCTCTCTCTCTCTCTCTCTCTCTCTCTCTCTCTCTCTCTCTCTCTCTCTCTCTCTCTCTCTCTCTCTCGCTCTCGCTCTCTCTACTATCTCGTCAAATATATATAACATATGTAGTGTTTGACGATATATGTATGTACTATATACGTATGCATATATATGATGAGTTCAGCCTCCTGATGAGTAGCTAGGTGAAACTCCGACGAAACAGTTTGTCACAGCACCCCCTCGTTTGTTGTCCTCTTCTTCCTCTCTGCCTACGGTTTACCGGGCAACTCTGTTTGAGGATAAATATATATATATATCGTCAAATAGAACTGCCCGGTAAACCGTAGGCAGAGAGGGAGAAGAGGACAACAAACGAGGGGCTGTGACAAACTGTTTCGTCGGAGTTATATATATCGTCACAAATTATATATATATATATCTCGTCACAAACAGAACTGCCCGGTAAACCGTAGGCATATATATATACGTGGATGTTTTGCTGGCTTGTGATGGGGTGTGAACCGACAGTCTGTAGAGTTTTCCATCTGGTGTGGGTGAGTGATAGTCTACTTTGATTT